CTACCCACATGTTCACTCCATTGACAATCACTAATCTGATGGGACAGGCAGCACCCGGATAGAATTTAATGGTGCTCTGGAAAACTGAATCATCGTGCTGGCAATAGTAATCCTAATTCTAAGTGGTCTTGGTCTTCCGTGTGATACTCATTTTGCGGGGACCACGTGAAACGTGAAGTTTTATGGTACAGTATCATTCCTGCTCTGCTATGCGTTTTTTCCTCCAACTTATTTTGGAACACAGATTTGTCATTTCGAAGACAAACAATCAATTTCATCTCAAGACAAAAGCAAAGCAAATTCAGAGAACATGGAGGAAAAACTTACAGTAGAGAGAGGGAAGGAAAAAAAATGGCTGTAATCAGATCTAGGATAAGATTGAATTCAAAATGGGACTATAAAATTTCAAATCGGGCTAATATGTGAAAAAAAAAATTATATATAAAAAACTGATTTTTTTATATAAAAAAAATAAAAAATACCTTTAAAAAAAAGTTATTGGGCCTGGGACTACAGCCCTGTCTTGTCCCCCACCCAAATCCGTCTCTGGCTGTAATTCCACGATGAAGAATCGAAGTTCTCCTACTTTGACGGTATTTATCATTGGCAGTTCTCTTTAAAATTTCATCCATATAGATTAAACGCTACCCACATGTTCACTCCATTGACAATCATTGATATGTAATTGATACAAAACATCCTTGCCTTTCATATTTATTATGAAAAACATTCATATTTTTCATTTTTTGGCATTTTCATCCCTTCCTTCCACCTTTCTTTGCGCTGAAAGTCCTTTTCATCCATTTTTGACAATTTTACCCTCCTATACAAATAAAACAAAAAGAAAAGAAAAGAAAAAAATTAGAGAACTAATTGCAATCATGGTTCCAAATTTTTAAAAAATTACAAATGAGTTACAAATTTTCAAAAAATTACAAATTGCAATCACGCAACTATTTTTGCGCTCGCTTCACCACCACCTGCGGTTCTTCTTGCCGCCATGGAACACTCGACTTCAACATACTCCGCCTCAGTAAAATTGTTTTACTATAGATAGAATCTCAATTCTTAATAGAGGGGAAAAGGCAAAACTTACAACCCCATAAGATAGGGACTGAACAGTTTGGCTGGTTGAAAAATGGTCAAGAACTTACAAGCCAATAAAATTTGGGACCATAGTTGCAATTAGTTCGCTATTTTTTTTTCTTTTTGTTTTATTTGAATAGGAGGATAAAATTGTCAAAAATAGATGAAAATGACATTTAGCGCAAAAAAATGTGGAAGGTAGGAGCGAAAATACCAAAAAATGAAAGATAATGACATTTTCCACAATAAATTTGAAAAGTATAAACGTTTTATGTTAATTACCATCATCAATCTGATGGGGTCCATGATTTTTTTATTGGATGCTAGTCCCCTCTTTTCAAGCTCGGTGTACTAACATCATATTGCTTGAATTTAATGGTGCAGTGGAAAACTGAATCATCGTGCTGGCAATAGTAATCATAATTCTAAGTGGTCTTGGTTTTCCGTGTGATACTCATTTTTCAAGGACCCCGTGAAACATGAAGTTTTATGGTACAGTATCATTCCTGCTCTGCTAAGCGTTTTTTCCTCCAACTTATTTTGGAATACAGATTCGTCATTTCGAATATGATTATTGAGGGAGACGAAAGGTGACATACAAATTTTCTTTTCTCACTTATAATTTCACAATCAAAGTTGACGTCCACTCTTATCAAAAGCTTCCTTTTTTAAAATTTATTTTTTCTCCGACTCTATTTTCTACATTCATTACTCTTCACTTAGGCAGTGGCCTTCGGCCTTATGATATAAGGGGCCTCAAAGTTCTGAAAACCTAAAAAATTTATTTAGCGGAAATTACAATAGCCACTCTTGTTACGTAAAAATTCCCGTTTTTACTATTCAATAATTTGTATTCCCAAAATACTAAAGGAAAAAAAAAAAGAAATAAAATTAATAATCTGCAAATCACTTAACTCCTCCTTGAATCAAACAAATCCCACCGTTCACGCTATAATTCAATCAAACAAATTTAACCGTTCATGCTATAATCAATCAAACAAACCCCTCCATTAACTATAAATCCGTGATTCATGGACTCGATAATTAGTAGGATTAATAAAAATGATAATACTAGATGTACATCCACTTTTTTATCGAATTCTTTACCTACACACACAATAGGAGGGTGGGTCCCACAGGCCTGAATTTTTAAATGCACGCGGGCCCGAGTGCATGTGAGAGTAGGTAACCCAAATTCGGTACATATATGTTTATCCTAATAAAAATGAACTTTTACATCGACATTTCTAATCTGACGCATTTTTCGAATAATTGCAATATGGTTTATGTGCTTTCAACTTGTCACAAGTTGATAAGCATTGCAATTTTGTTTGCTCATTATTATTGTCTTCGTATATAATATGTAACAAAAATATTTTGGTTTCATAGCAATTAAGATATCATAATAGTAACGCTTCTACACAATCTGTAAAGGAATGTTTTACCTATGATTTTATCATGATTTTATACGTTTATTTCGATCTTATACAATTTATCTGAAGTTCGTCTTGAACTTCTTTTGGGCTTAGGTAAATTGTTTTTAGTCTGCAATGTGATGCCCCTAATTTTTTTTTTTAAATGAATAAATTGATAGATTAAGGCTTACGTAGGCATCAAAGCCAATTTTAATGAACTACGTTCTCAAGAAAGTGGAGTAGGCTTAGAATTATTTTCATCTTGTAAATCTTTAATCTATGTTTTTTAATGCTCAGTAAATGATAGATTATGTTATGTTCTTGTTTCTTACCTTCAATAAGTGAACACAATTTCTGCTGTACAAAATTATTTTTCTCACGTTCCATCTATGAAACATTTAGTGGGACATATTATACCGTTACTTGCCCGATTTGATTTTAAAAATGAAATGTATCTTATTGTTGGAACTTCACAAGTAATAATACTCATTTATGTGATGTCAATCTATGCAGTTACAAGTATGGTTTCCATTATCATACACATGTGTTATAATAAAGATTCTATTAGAATTTTTTATTATAATTATATTCAATGAATCTGAATGTGGCTGACTTGATCCCAACATACCCTTATAAGTTTTTTTCTTTCTTTTTGGTGACTTGGGTGTCTGAACTTCACCCGACTAATCATAAAGAGTGGTGGCTTTCCCCTTGGTCTACCACCTGGGTGAATCTAGATACGGATACAACTTATACACACTTGGACCGAACATTTGGGATGCAGTTCTCCTCCACATGGACCTCCCTTTACGAATCCCATTGGATTTCATTCAAAGGAGGAGCCAACGTGCAGACAAAACCCTCGAAGGGACAACAAAGCGCCCCATAACTTTGCATCCACAGGACGTTTGTCTTCCAACATAAATGTTGCCTTACCACTATGCCATACTCAAGAGGGCAATCCTTATATGTTTTCTAACCATATCATGCGTTGTTCATTGAGCAAAATCTTTAGTCAAATGGTGTGTACTGTCTAAATTAGATGAAAGCATAAATTACAAATTTTGTCTAGATAATGGGAATAACAAGAAAAAGATAATGGGAATAACAAGAAAATGAATTGAGATGCCTTTGGAACATATGCTTGAAGAAATCATCAGGAAAAATGAATGAATGAGTCATAAAGCCACTTTGCTTCTCTGTCTAAACAAGGATTTTGATTTACAAAATCCAAGGATTATGCTCTTCTTTTCCTTTCATTTTCTCTTTATGTCCCTTCCAACCATATTAAAGTTCAACGATCCTAACTTAATGCCCCATTATTCTTAAGCCATGTTCCATTGGGAGGATTGGATAGAACTAAGTTGTATAATGAAGAAAATTTTGAACTCTTGTTCAAAATACATTTAATTCTTGAAAAAAAAAATCGAGTTGCTGATGCTCGGTATCCTTTCAGTGATGGCGTAGAAAACAATCGAAGTGCATCTCCTATTGTTTGGACAAGCTCAAGAAAAATTTTAAGGTGGAGCAAAAGAAATGATCCCATAAAATATAGCATATCGTCTCCGAGACCTCAAACTGAATTTGCTAACAAGACACACTTCAAGTCCTTGCACTTCTCAAAACTATTACTTTCCCTTTATACTTTCCTTTCAAGAAGCCAAATTGATATAGCCCTTGTTTGGGCTTCATTTTATAGAATATTCAGGGAAAATGAGTTTTGGAGCGGTGAATTTTTGGAGAATGTGTGGTCAAGGTCGGTCCTATAATTGTCGAAGCTCGAGGCGAAGTTCATAAATTAGGCTCCAAAATCAACGAAAATGCAAAATTCAACAATGTATTATACAACTTACTGCTAACTTAAAACTTAACATTTAAACAACAAACAAACACATTAAACAAAATATTTCTATTATAAAACAACAAAACCAACAAATAATTAGTTAAATACTATTCGCCTTGATGTTTTAGAGGCAAAAACATTAATCAAATCTAAATAATTTAACTACTCAACTATTTCTTTCTCTATTGATATCATAGTCAATCATCTCACAATTAAAGTTTTCAATATAGTTACTACGTGAGCTTGTGCAATTGTTAATTCTGCAATAACCAATCATATAAGTCGATCAAACCACAATTATATGAGCCGATAAGCTTCAAACATTTCCAATAAGTAGAATTTCGACAAAAATTATGGAATCACGCCTTGAGAATTCCACCGTCACAACTCACAGGCAATCAAGCCTGAAATAAAAATTTAATATCAAACACCAATACGAATATAAAATTCTATTGCATTAATCCATTCATCATAAATTCAGAATCGTATTGCAAATTGCAATTTCATCAGAAATCTTATGAAATCATAAAATCAATAAGCAATAATCATTGGAGTGAACAATATTAGATCACATCATGACAGGAAAAAAAATCATCCAAGTGAACAATATTAAATCATGATCACCAGAGCACTTAATCAAACTATTCAGGTATATGGTCCAACCATAAACACGGTCATTTCAGATAAGAAAAGACAGCACATTGGGGTTTTAATTCTACGATCCAACAACCAGCTTTTGATATCATATCAACTCATTACATGTAATCACTAGTTCATCCTAACACTTTTTAACTCATATCCTGTGAATCCTGTTTAGATGCTTCTCAACAACTATCTGTAAGAATATAATTGCATTTCCTTTGCCCTCCGGAGCATAGTCCAGTGGTACAAAGGACATGAGTGATGTTATCTCATGCCTTACTGGCAGTCGCAGTGTGGGGGTTCGATTCTTGAGACATGAAATTGAACTCCTTGTAAGCGCAGTGTACAAACAGCTCTTGTTCCTTGACCTGCTATGGCACATCCCGCGATTTACCTCTCTTACAAAGCTCTAGAGACGGAGCGGTGGGGGCCCTCAAGGTTGGAATTCAACATTTATAATTGCAATTCCTTTTCTCAAAAAGTATTCCATAAGAACATCGATACATTTTCTTTTGTGCTCCAGGTATCAACAGCTTTTACTCAAGAAAATGGCTTTAAAAGTCAAAAATTTTAAATTCTCACCACATTCAATGAGTTTTGCAAATCGATTAAAATCTTTATATCAATTTTATGCAGCAAACAAATT